ACCTCATCTGGAATATGCAGTTCAGTTTTGGGCACCAATTCACAAAAAGAACATTGAGGAACTGGAGAAAGTACAGAGAAGGGCAACTAAACTGATCAGAGGCATGGAGGAGAGCTCAGCTATGAGGAAAGCTTAGAGGAACTGAATTTATTCTCTCTTGAGAAGAGGAGATTAAGGGGGGATATGATCTCCATGTATAATACATAAGGGGGGATATGATCACCATGTATAATACATAAGGGGGGATATGATCTCCATGTATAATACATAAGGGGGGATATGATCTCCATGTATAATACATAAGGGGGGATATGATCTCCATGTATAATACATAAGGGGGATATGATCTCCATGTATAATACATAAGGGGGGATATGATCTCCATGTATAATACATAAGGGGGGATATGATCTCCATGTATAAATACATAAGGGGGGGATATGATCTCCATGTATAATACATAAGGGGGCATATGATCTCCATGTATAATACATAAGGGGGGATATGATCTCCATGTATAATACATAAGGGGGGATATGATCAACATGTATAATACATAAGGGGGATATGATCACCATGTATAATACATAAGGGGGGATATGATCAATGTATAATACATAAGGGGGATATGATCACCATGTATAATACATAAGGGGGGATATGATCACCATGTATAATACATAAGGGGGGATATGATCTCCAAGTATAATACATAAGGGGGATATGATCTCCATGTATAATACATAAGGGGGATATGATCTCCAAGTATAATACATAAGGGGGATATGATCTCCATGTATAATACATAAGGGGGATATGATCACCATGTATAATACATAAGGGGGGATATGATCTCCATGTATAATACATAAGGGGGGATATGATCTCCATGTATATAATACATAAGGGGGGATATGATCTCCATGTATAAATACATAAGGGGGGATATGATCACCATGTATAATACATAAGGGGGCATATGATCTCCATGTATAATACATAAGGGGGGATATGATCTCCATGTATAATACATAAGGGGGGATATGATCTCCATGTATAATACATAAGGGGGATATGATCTCCATGTATAATACATAAGGGGGGATATGATCACCATGTATAATACATAAGGGGGGATTGATCACCATGTATAATACATAAGGGGGGATATGATCTCCATGTATAATACATAAGGGGGGATATGATTACATGTATAATACATAAGGGGGGGATATGATCTCCATGTATAATACATAAGGGGGGATATGATCACCATGTATAATACATAAGGGGGGATATGATCACCATGTATAATACATAAGGGGGGATATGATCTCCATGTATAATACAAAAGGGGGGATATGATCTCCATGTATAATACATAAAGGGGGATATGATCTCCATGTATAATACATAAGGGGGGATATGATCACCATGTATAATACATAAGGGGGGATATGATCACCATGTATAATGTATAATACATAAGGGGGGATATGATCTCCATGTATAATAACATAAGGGGGGATATGATCTCCATGTATAATACATAAGGGGGATATGATCTCCATGTATAATACATAAGGGGGGATATGATCTCCATGTATAATACATAAGGGGGGATATGATCTCCATGTATAATACATAAGGGGGGATATGATCTCCATGTATAATACATAAGGGGGGATATGATCTCCATGTATAATAACATAAGGGGGGATATGATCTCCATGTATAATACATAAGGGGGGATATGATCTCCATGTATAATACATAAGGGGGGATATGATCTCCATGTATAATACATAAGGGGGGATATGATCTCCATGTATAATACATAAGGGGGGGTATGATCTCCATGTATATAATACATAAGGGGGGATATGATCTCCATGTATAATACATAAGGGGGGATATGATCTCCATTATAAATACATAAGGGGGATATGATCTCCATGTATAATACATAAGGGGGGATATGATCTCCATGTATAATACATAAGGGGGGATATGATCTCCATGTATAACATACATAAGGGGGATATGATCTCCATGTATAATACATAAGGGGGGATATGATCTCCATGTATAATACATAAGGGGGGATATGATCTCCATGTATAATACATAAGGGGGGATATGATCTCCATGTATAATACATAAGGGGGGGAAATATGATCACCATGTATAATACATAGGGGGGATATGATCTCCATGTATAATACATAAGGGGGGATATGATCACCATGTATAATACATAAGGGGGGATATGATCTCCATGTATAATACATAAGGGGGGATATGATCTCCATGTATAATACATAAGGGGGGATATGATCTCCATGTATAATACATAAGGGGGATATGATCTCCATGTATATAATACATAAGGGGGGATATGATCTCCATGTATAATACATAAGGGGGGATATGATCTCCATGTATAATACATAAGGGGGGGATATGATCTCCATGTATAATACATAAGGGGGGGATATGATCTCCATGTATAATACATAAGGGGGGGATATGATCTCCATGTATAATACATAAGGGGGGATATGATCTCCATGTATAATACATAAGGGGGGGATATGATCTCCATGTATAATACATAAGGGGGGATATGATCTCCATGTATAATACATAAGGGGGGATATGATCTCCATGTATAATACATAAGGGGGGATATGATCTCCATGTATAATACATAAGGGGGATATGATCTCCATGTATATAATACATAAGGGGGGGATATGATCACCATGTATAATACATAAGGGGGATATGATCTCCATGTATAATACATAAGGGGGGATATGATCTCCATGTATAATACATAAGGGGGGATATGATCGCCATGTATAATACATAAGGGGGGGATATGATCTCCATGTATAAATACATCAGTGGTTCATATAGTGAACTCGGTGTAGAGCTATTCACCCTGAGGTCATCACAGAGGACAAGGGGGCACTCTTTACGTCTGGAGGAAAATAAATGTAATCTACAAACACAGAAAGGTTTCTTCACAGTGTGAAAATGTGGAATAGACTCCCTCAAGAGTTGGTTCTGGCCAGATCAGTGGATTGCTTTAAGAAAGGCCTGAATTCTTTCTGGATACACAGAATATAACTGGATATAACATTTATAGGTAAAGTTGATCCAGGGAATATCCGATTGCCTCTCGGGGGATCAGGAAGGAATTTTTCCCCTGCAGGAGCAAATTGGATCATGCTTTGCTGGGTTTTTTGCCTTCCCCTGGATCAACTGTGGGTGTAGGATTATAGTTTTTGTTTTGTTTGTTTTTGGTTGAACTGGATGGACCTTTGTCTTTTTTCAGCCAGACTGACCATGTAACTATGACATCACTTGAAGTTGCACAATTTCAAAGTCAGATGCCAGTGTGACTTAGAAGACATCTGAACTACTTCATGCACAGATGTCTATGCAAGTTGCATCTGAAATCACAAAAATGTAATGCAGGAACTACTTTCCAAATCAGTGCAACTCCGGTAAAGTCGCAGTTGCACTGATTAGAACGGTTCCATTCATGATCATAGGGAATGACTTGTCATGCAATTTGTCAAATCGCATGCCAAGTTGCATCAGTGTGACCAGAGGGTAAAAATACTCTATCATAGAAATAAAAACTGCTTTAGGTGTGCCGATTCACGGAATTTGCACAGGTTTCTGTGAGATTCCCACACTGCATCAAAGTCGCACCCCGTTCATGCAAACCTCTGCGGGTGTGTATGTTAAAGCAGAGCTCCACCCAAAAGGGGAAGTTCCGCTTTAAGCAGCCTTTGTCCCCCACTCCCCATTAAGGATTGGCACCTTTGGGGAGCGGGTACACGAATTTGACAGGTACCCACTCCCACTTCTGCTGCGATTGCCTAGGCGATCAGAAGCGGAAGTTGTCCTCAGTTGGACACGTGACAGGTTCCCAGAAGACTACGGGGCCATTCACAAAGCGCAGCGGTTCTCATGCATGGACAGTGGGCACCCGGCTGTGAAGCCGCAAGCTGTCACAGATGGGTGCCCACACTTAGGATGCCGGCGCCAGGGAGAGAAGCCATGTGCTATGCAGAGCCATACAAAGCAGTGTGCAGGATCTGACAGGGGAGAGATTTGTATTGCTTACATACAGGTCTCTCCCCTTTTGGAGATACTCGGCGATCACCGGGGGTGAGAAATCACTGGCCGGGACCTGGTGATTGAGAGCGAATGTAGGGTGTGCATATATATATATGTGATTTTGCGCACCCATGCTGCCCTGTAGCAGTATTTCTGCTATAAGGAGGCGCAGAACTGGTTAATACAAGACGCACAGGAGTAGATTTATTCAGTTCACTCAGAATCCCGGGCACCTGCGTATGGGAGCCAATCAGCTTCTAACTTCAGCTTGTTCAATTAAGCTTTGGCAATAAAACCTGGAAGCTGATTGGTTTCTGTGCAGAAGTGGGGCTGATTTTTGATGCTCCAGCTTTAGTAAATTAACCCCACTGTGTGGTTGGTTGACACCTCTGATATATGGAATGTATAATTACACAGTATGGAATGTATAATCTGCTAAGTCAGTTTCTTGGAAACTTGCAGTTCCCCGACCACAGGTCTTCCATGTACACACAATTGTACGAGTGTCTGAAGGCCAATTTGTGAGATACATACGAGAGAGGCACTCAGCAGATCTGCTTCGAGTCTCTTGCTATAGTTATAGCATTCAAGCCATTTTGATTTTCCACATCAAACGTCCCCTGAGTTCTGACAGGCAGCAGGCAGCCAATTGTAAACCGCTGCGGCGTGCAGAACTGCAGAGTTGCAATTTATTCTGCCATCTGATAGGAATGTGCGTGTGCGGGCCTCTAATTATGTTGTTCCACAAATACCAGAAAATACAACAGAATTTTTGTAATGAATTCTTCGCTCCTATTGTCTGCTATAAAGTTTTGGGATAATTGAATGTATGGCCATGTGTTAAAGTGTTACTAAACGCAGGACCCTGCATTCACTATATCTGGTCTCCCCCGGACCCTGCATTCACTATATCTGGTCTCCCCGGACCCTGATTCACTATATCTGGTCCCCCGGACCCTGCATTCACTATATCTGGTCTCCCCGGACCCTGCATTCACTATATCTGATCTCCCCGGACCCTCATTCACTATATCTGTCCCTGGTCCTTCTGCAGTCACTATATCTGGTCTCCCCAGACCCTGCATTCACTATATCTGGTCTCCTCGGACCCTGCATTCACTATATCTGGTCTCCCCAAACCCTGCATTCACTATATCTGGTCTCCCCAGACCCTGCATTCACTATATCTGGTCTCCCCGGACCCTGCATTCACTATATCTGGTCTCCCCAAACCCTGCATTCACTATATCTGATCTCCTTGGACCCTGCATTCACTATATCTGGTCTTCCCGGACCCTGCATTCACTATATCCGCTCTCCCAGGACCCTGCATTCACTATATCTGGTCTCCCCAGACCCTGCATTCACTATATCTGCTCTCCCAGGACCCTGCATTCACTATATCTGGTCTCCCCAGACCCTGCATTCACTATATCTGGTCTCCCCAGACCCTGCATTCACTATATCTGGTCTCCCCGGACTCTGCATCCACTATATCTGGTCTCCCCGGACCCTTCATTCACTATATCCGCTCTCCCCGGACCCTGCATTCACTATATCTGCTCTCCCAGGACCCTGCATTCACTACATCTGGTCTCCCCAGACCCTGCATTCACTATATCTGGTCTCCCAGGACCCTGCATTCCCTATATCTGATCTCCCGGACCCTGCATTCACTATATCTGATCTCCCTGAACCCTACGTTCACTAAATCTGGTCTCCCCGGTCCCTGCATTCACTATATCCAGTCTCCCAGGACCCTGCATTCACTATATCTGGTCTCCCCGGACCCTGCATTCACTATATCTGGTCTCCCACAGTACACACAATATGGAAATGCAATTATTGTAGTAAATATAAACTGCTAAATACCTTTTCTCATCAGCAGTTAGAGCAGCCTTGTGACTTCTATCAGTGTCCAGCCAAGCACTGGTAAAGCTTGTAGGAGAAATTTTCTTTTTGCTCTAGGAGAAACCAGGACCCCTGACCTCTGTTTGGACAGTGATGATTGGCCCTGTGCTGATCACATGAACTCTCCCAAGAAAAAAAAAAAAAACTTTTCTAGCAATATACACTAAACTGAGCATGTGAAGAATGGCTACAGTTCAGTCTTTCTTCTCAGGAGATAAGACATGGACATTTGAACAAGAGGAGGAGCAGAGAAGTCAGGATCAAAGGGCCTTTTTACACAATGCAGAGGATTAACCCCTTAGGTTCCACAGTGAGTATAACAAGCATGCTTTACTGCATATACAGACTGATTTTACTGTTGTTTGTTTAGTAACACGTTAAATATAGCATGCAAATGTCTGTTATTTGAACTTTAATACCTCCTCTCTTCTTTCCAATCCACACAGGTATTCTATCTAGAAACTAGCATGAAGAACATGTAGACAGTGGAGGAACATTTACAAAGCATTCCAAATGCTTCCAGCAGATAGGACACTGACACACAGATGGTGGTACATGTCTTTCAGGGATGATAATGTGGCAAGAACCTGTTTACGTGACATTTAGGGGTGTGTTTATAAAAGGTTTGCTTAGCTGTCATATAACAAGACTGCATTTGAATTTGTTCTATGTGAATAGGTCAATATCGAATGTTCTCGGCTACATTCTTTGCCATTCAAATGTGAGATTACGGACATTACCAAATTATGGCCACTAAGTGGCACTGAGGAATATATTAATTTCCTATGGTAGCTGGCACCATTTATTGGCCATAATGTTGTATTTTGCAGAGAATAAATTCAGAGAACGTTTATTTTGACACATTCATACAGAACAAATTTTCATGCAGTTTTGATGGATGTGCTGCATGATGGTTGCAACTTTTTAAAAAAAATTAAATACACCCCGTAAAGTGTATATATTGCTCACCCCCGAAGGAGCTGCTGATGTATTGGTCTCCGATTTCAGATGACAGCGACTCTTCCATCAATTGCACACCTTCTGAAACACTATGCCTGAAGAAGGAGGATTTATTTGGGCTATACACCCAATGAGGGAACACAATACAAACAAAACAACGTGAGGACCAAGTAATTCTGAACCTGCTCCCCTCCAGGAACCTGAATCCTAAATCAATCAAGGGTCCTAGCTAAAGGCAATACTTGCCTAGAGGCTCAAATGTCGTGGAGTCTCTCCAAAACCCCACCCACTGGCTGGTGTGGGTACTAAATGTTGGGGCCCAGAGTCCTGCATTGGAGCGCTCAGATAGATTTGTATCTACAGTAAAGGGTGTAAGTCCTGTAAGTTAGGGTGATGCTGCATGGTGGTTGCAACTTTTTAAAAAAATAAATACACCCCGTAAAATGTATGTATTGCTCACCCCCAAAGGAGCTGCTAATGTATAGGTCTCTGATTCCGGATGACAGCGAATCCTCTGGCAATTGCATACCCTCCAAAACGCTAAGGATATAGAAGGAGGATTTATTTGGACTATACACCCAACGAGGCAAAACAAAAAACAGCAAACAGCAACAAACAGTTACAAAATAAAACAAAAAAGTGTATACAATACAACGAAACAATGTGAGGACCAAGTAATGGTCTGGACCTGCTCCCCTACAGGGGTGTACCTGAATCCTAATCAAAAATGTGTATGTATTGCAAAGGTCCTAGCTAAAGGCAATTTACTTGCCTAGAGGATGAAAAATAAAAAAAATGGTTCTTCTGACCTGTCTCTCCTCCAAAACCCAATGACAAGGGTTTCCAAGCAATCTAGGCAATGGCCAAATGTCGGGGAGTGTGGGTGTGGTACTAAATGTTGGGGCCCAGAGTCCTGCGTTGGAGCGCGCTCTCAGATAAATTTGCATCTACAATAAAGGGTGTAATTCCTCGAACTAAGTTAGGGAGGCGCTAAAACAAAAATGTCAACGAAACAATGTGATGAGGACCTTTAAGAGGAGGGTAATAGTAGGTTGCAGGCAAGCGACCTGCTTCCCCTCCACCTGAAATCTAAATCAAAAAAGGGTCTCTCCTGAAAGGGCCACTATGGGGCAGTTTGTTGTGAAGCTAATTCCTCTGTTCACCGGTGTCTGCCAAACCCGACCTGGCTTTGCTGATGGAAAATCTGGAAACTGTAGCACTGTGATCTCCTATGATACCAGTAATGCCCCCCCCCCCCGGATTTCTCTGATGACCAGGACATGTTTTGTTATTCAGCACTGTGCTACTTTAACTGGAAGTTATGCGGTCAAGCAACACTGTGCCTAAATGAAGTTTATATAATTTTTTTTCACACAAATAGAGCTTTCTTTTGTTGATATTTAATCCCCACTGCTTTTTTTTTTTTTATTTTGCTATATAAATGAAATAAGACAACAATTAAAAAAAAAGAAGTTTGTTATAAAATTTTGCAAATAAATAATCATTCTTCTTAAATTTAGGATAAAATGTATTCTGCTACATTTCTTTGGTGAAAATAACCCAAATCAGTGTATAGTATTTAGTCTGTGTGAAAGTTATAGAGTCCACAAACTATGGGATATAAACTTGAAAATTGATCAATCCTGATGTACTGATGGCCTCTTTTCTTGAGGCCCAAAAATGTCAGAACAGTACAAATACTCTCCAAATGACCCTTTTTGGAAAGCAGACAGTCCAAGGTTTTTAGTTAGAGACATGACGAGTTTTTTGAAGTTGTAATTTTTTTGTCACAATTTTTTGGAAAATGAAGAAATTAAATAAAATTTGGGTCTCTTTTCCACATTTTTTTTAACATACTGTCACCAGTGCAGTAGAGCACCATCAAATAACTGCTGGGGCAGGGAGCTCAGGGATACTGACTATTGACAATATGTACTATTTTAAAAGGGGGGGGGGGTTACTGTGTTATTGCTTATAACAGCGATGATCTCTTTTCCTCTTCACTCATTTCCTCTCCTCTCATCTCATTTCCTCTTCTCTCATCTCATTTCCTCTCCTCTCATCTCATCTAATTTACTCTCATCTCCTTTCCTCTCCTCTCATTTCCTCTAATTTCCTCTCCTCTCATCTCATTTCCTTTTCTCTACTCTCCTTGCATTTCCTTTCCCTCTCCTCTCATTTCCTCTCCTCTCATTTCCTCTCCTCTGATCTCATTTCCTCTCATCTCCTTGCATTTTCTCTCTTCTCATCTCCTTCCTCTCATTTTCTCTCATTTTCTCTCCTCTCATCTCATTTCCTCTCATCTCCTTTCCTCTCCTCTCCTTTCATTTCCTCTCCTCTCATCTCATTTCCTCTCATCTCATTTCCTCTCCTCTCCTTTCATTTCCTCTCCTCTCCTCTCATCTCATTTCCTCTCATCTCATTTTGTCTCTCTCATTTCCTCTCATCTAATTTTCTCTCATCAAATTTCCTCTCATTTCATTTCCTCTTCCTCTCATCTCATCTCATTTCCTCTCATCCAATTTCCTCTTATCTCCTCCCCTCTCATCTCATTTCCTCTCCTCCCCCCTCTCATTTAATTTAATTTCCTCTCATCTCCTCTCCTCCCCTCATTTAATTTCATTTCCTCTCCTCTTATCTCATTTCTTCCCATCTCATCTCATTTCCTCTCATCTCCTCTTCCCTTCCCTCTGTTCTCTTCTCTCTTCTTATCTTATCTAATTTCCTCTCCTCTCCTCTCATTTCCTCTCCTCTCCTCTTATCTAATGTCCTCTCCTCTCCTCTCATTTCCTCTGCTCTCATCTCATTTCCTCTCATCTCATCTCCTCTTCCCTTCCCTCTGTTCTCTTCTCTCTTCTTATCTTATCTAATTTCCTCTCCTCTCATTTCCTCTCCTCTTATCTAATGTCCTCTCTCCTCTCATTTCCTCTGCTCTTATCTCATTTCCTCTCATCTCATCACATTTACTCTCATCTCCTCTTCCCATCCCTCTGTTCTATTCTCTTCTCTCCTCTTATCGTATCTAATTTCCTCTTCTCTTCCCTCCTTTCCTCCACACAGAGCTCCGACCAGCAGTCCATGCCCTATGCACGCATATAGCCAGTTCCTAGGAAAGATCCAGACATAATTCTCTGGAGCAACACCCAGTCCTATTGATCCCAGTAATCATTCTCCATCAGATCTTCAATGACTGTGATAAATATTGGGGCACATCAAGGACGGCCTCTTCCAAAACGCTTTTCATAACACATTTGTTTTCCAGCATTGGCAAGTGGAATCTATCAAGGACACGGAGGTTAATCGGTGAATCAACTCAGCACCATTGATTGCCTATCTGGCCCAAACAGCAAATCTATGCCTTGTGTCCCTTACCGTCACACAAGTCACCCTCCGTCAGCGGAAGGTAATTTCAGGAATGCGTGTGATATGTAAATAATGGGGCCCGTGAGCGTGAATCACTCAGAGGCTCGGGTGATAAATTACTGTGTTGTCCAAACCATCAATA